TTTTTTTTTTTTTTTTTGCGGAACTGGGGATTGAACTCAGGACCTTGTGCTTGCCAGGCAAGCACTTATTCTGCTGAGCTATCTCCCTGGCCCCGGCAATCCTAATCTTATAGTAAATTTAATAAATAATTTGATAAAATATGCAATTTGAGGTTTCTAGCTAATTTCTAAAATTTCATTAATTCTTTTGGAAACTGTGTTGGGGTGAATCTGCACCTTCTTATACTATTCTCAACAGCACTGGTAATAGAGGTCTCGAGGAAAGCCAGGACATTCCAATTCATATTAAAAATACATTGAGAGTCCACCATATGAATTCTTCCAAATTGCAATCTAATGCGGCATTTACCATAAAAATGTATTTTTAAAATTGATGTTTCCCCATGTTATGGCTTGTGTCCAGTTGTCTCTCCAAAGCCTCATGAAGTCATGGGGCCGGGACTTCTAGAGTCCGAGATTAACTCATGATCCACTGGGATTATGTGTTTTAGTACTGCTAGTATTACAGGTGTGAGTGCTGCACCCAGCCTGGGGCAGATAGCCTTAATATAACTGAGACAGAGAGACAGACTTCTCCGTTGCCCTTGTTGGTGCCATTCCTCTATTTTGCTATCTTCCATGTGCCACTCTGCCTTGGAGCCACTTGACTATGGACTGAAACCTGCAGAAACTGTAAGCTAAATAAACCTTTCCTTCATTTTGGATGTCAGGTATTTGTCCCAGCAAGGAGAGCAGAGTAACCCAGACAACACAGAATTTAAGTCTATACTTCACTTCTATAGTGTCAGGAACAGCCTGAAACTAGCAAGGGTTGCTCCCATTTTCTAAATAAGATTTGCAAGACAGTTTTGCTCGGTAGCCGCCCGAGAAGACACTGATATTCCACAAAAGCAGACTGTTTGCTAACCGTCTTTATCCCAAGCAGGCAGAACAGGGCCTACGGACTCGTCAGCCAGTAACTGTGAATTTATGGATTGAGAGCACAATTACATCCGGAACCAGCCAATGGAAAGCACTATGCGTTTAACGACTGGTGGACAGGTTATCAGTTCCACACCACCAGTCATTCTGGGGGGCCATTAGAAACACCCTTTAACCCCTTCTCGTCGGCAAAACTGGAGTCGTTTTACCCAACTACCCCTCGGGCAAGGCGCTGGGATCGCGAGGAGGGACGCGTTCCTTTGCCTCTGCCAAGGCAAGGGGCGCCCTCCGCCTGCCAACCGAGGCGGGGGCAGCTCCCCCGACCTCCGCGTCGCCCTGTCGTTACTCGGGGGCCGACCGGGGCCATCCGGAGAGGGCCCCAGCGCCAATCCCCTTCGCCCCAGGCACGCCCTGAGCCGCGACGGCGAGGGCGAGCCCCGAGCTAGCTCCCGGGCGCCGGCCCCGCCCGACCGCGCGGTGCGAACGTGACCTTGTTTGGCGTTGCTAGGAGACGCGGCGCCCGCGCGCCCCCCACTGGTCGGCGCCCGCCCGACGCGCGGGCAAGGCGGGGCCGCGGCAGGCGAGGACAACGCAGCACCGTTAGCGCGGCCTGGCGCCGGCGCCCGCCGGGCTCGTCGCTGTCGCCGCCCGGGCCTCGCTGGTGTCCCGGCGGCTGCGGACGACGTGAAATCAGGACGTGGGCCGAGCCGCAGGTGAGCGGTGGGGCGGGGTGGCCACGGCCGGGCGAAGTCATGGGCGGGGGGCTGGGGGTCGGGGCACGGAGCCCGCCGCGGGGCTGGGGTTCCCGGCGCCGCTGCGGGCCGGGTCGTTCGCGCTGAGCGGCGGGCGCGGTCCTGCAGGCACCCACCCCGGCCGGCGGACGAAGGGTTAATGAAGGCGCCGGCGGTGGCTGCGGGCCCCGGATGTGAGGTCGCGGCGCGCTGCAGGTGCGCGGGGCCACCTGACAGCCCCGGCTGCCGCCCGCCGCTCCGTCGGAGGCCGTCCGGGTTTCGGAAGTCAAGGGCAACAGGTGGTGCCTTTGGACCGGCGGAGAGCCCTGGGCCGCCGAGCTCGGAGCGGCAGCTACCCTGGCCAATGGGGCCGCGGGGGCGGGGTGGCGTGGCTGCCCGGCGCGGGTGACCAATGGGATCGGGGATCCTGGGTGGGCCGGAAGGGGTGGGCGTGGCCTGAGCCGGAGTCCGAGGTTTGCAGCCCGGCCACTGCCAGAGCTGCGTGGAGGGCTGAGCTGAGCGGTCGTGGGACGCTGCCCTCCCACGGGAAACGCCTGCCGATGCTTTCTGGTTGGGACGCAGACTCCGCGCTGGGAGGTGAGAGCGTTTTTATTTTAGGTGGGGTGGGGCACGTAATAGTGGTCCTGAGTCTGTTAGACATGTGGGAATAGATCCTCCTAGGTGAGATTACCTTCCGTGAGTTTTCTGCCAAAATTAAAAAAAAAAAAAAAAAAAAAAAGAAGGTTGGACTAATGTGGTTATGGTGGTTTGGACTAGATTCTGGTGACTGGGTTGTATTCAGAATTAGGTCTCTTGAGGTTTGGGGACCGAGGGTAGTATACAGACGTGCACACTAATGATTTAGGGAATCGGAGAATTGTGGTTGCAGTTATTCTGACGTTTGTCTCCTATTGCGTACGATTCATGTCTCAGGTGGTTTGTTTACTGAAGCAAGTTTTATCAAGCGCATCGCGTTGCTCTTTTAGGAAAAAGAGAAGACTGGTTTTAGTGTACTATTTCACAAGAATAACTTATCCATTTCTTCCCCAGCAGTCTTGTAGCTGGATCCCCAAGGAGGAGAAATTCTGAAGCAGTAGGAAGAAAGTGTTTCAGTTTGGGACACTTATTTGCCCCTGGAAATGGGGAATGGACTGTCAGACCAGACGTCTATCCTGTCCAGCCTGCCTTCCTTTCAGTCCTACCACATTGTTATTCTGGGTTTGGACTGTGCTGGAAAAACAACAGTCTTATACAGGTTGCAGTTCAATGAATTTGTAAATACTGTACCTACCAAAGGATTTAACACTGAGAAAATCAAAGTGACTTTGGGAAATTCTAAAACAGTCACTTTCCACTTCTGGGATGTAGGTGGTCAAGAGAAATTGAGGCCCCTGTGGAAGTCGTATACCAGGTGCACAGATGGTATAGTGTTTGTGGTGGACTCGGTTGATGTTGAAAGGATGGAAGAAGCCAAAACTGAACTTCATAAAATAACTAGGATATCTGAAAACCAAGGGGTCCCTGTACTTATAATTGCCAACAAGCAAGATCTGAGGAACTCACTATCTCTCACAGAAATTGAGAAACTGTTAGCAATGGGTGAACTGAGCTCATCAACTCCTTGGCATCTGCAGCCTACTTGTGCAATCATAGGAGATGGACTCAAAGAGGGACTGGAGAAACTGCACGATATGATAATTAAAAGAAGAAAAATGTTGCGGCAACAGAAAAAGAAAAGATGAATATCGATACAATTTGTATCTGTGTGGAGTAGGTTTTCTCTGGCCTGATTTTGACAAGCGGAAGAGTGTCTACACCTGGTTTGCCTGTTTGCCCTCCTGGATGCTATCAAAGCTTTGTTTTGTTGAACAGTCAGATGCCCAACTCCTTCCTTGTGGGAGATGAGCAAATGCGGTGCGTCTTCAAGAGGTCTCTTCTCCCTACCCCACATCTTCTGGTACTACCATTTTGGGAAGGCAAGCAAGGATAGTACATTGATCAGAAAACAGTTGTGGAAATTTGATCTGCAGTTAATGAAATAAAACTTTGAAGAGTGTCTGTTAGTGTTTTGTGCTTGTATCTTTTAGGGGGAAGCCTTTGCAGAAGATTGCCTACAAGGCTTTGTATATTAAGACAAAATGCTGATGAATGGAAATGTTAAGGTAACACACACACACAGACACACACACACACACTTATATTGATCTGTATTGATCTGGGACAAGAGGAAGTGTTTGCTTTTTTAAGTTTTGGCTGGATAGTTTTTAGTATTTTCTGGAATCAAATAATGCTGTCTTAATTCTAGACAATTTTTTTAAAAAAGTTGGCCTACCATTAATAAAAATAAGGTGTTTGAGGTATCTTCAAGTGCATGGACTAGTTTTTGATAAAGCATGTTTTGGTGTGTAGTTTACTTTTTAGAAATAGCTATGCATCTTCCTATACAGTTTTAAAACAATGTTTTTGGGATTTGGGGCTAATATAGAAGTGGTTGGTTGTCAGAAGCACTTTCACATGAAGAACCTAAAATCTACTTGACTCTTACATAGTAAATAATGGGCTTGTAGATTAATTCTAAATACATATGCTTGGATATATATATATATATGGATTTATGAAGAAAGCAGTTGTTTTCAGTCAAAAATATATAATTAGAATAAGCATATAGTCTCTAGTTAAAAGACATTTGTTACTATTTACTGGCTGAAAACAGATGTGTTTTTCATATATTTTTGTAGTATTTTGGGAGGAGCAAAAGCTTTACAAAACAACACCCGATATGCTGTGGAATGAAAATACAAGATACCTATATGCGTTCTGAGCTTTAATTTTTGTTTACCAGTTGAATAGTATTTCCAGGCGTGTGTAGTCCAGATTATGGGAAGAAATGGTACAGTACTGCAGATAAGAATTAACGATTATAGACAACGAAGGGGGAAGTAGCAAAGCTGTCTTATGACAATTCACTGGTGCTGTTTCTATTGTAATAAAAACCATAGAACTTTATAAGGAGGGGAAGATCTTTAATTCTTCCAGGGAGAGACTGAATTTCAGTACATATATTGGCAATTAAGTGTATTTATTTCCTATTTGTAAAGCCAACAGCTGTTTATTCTGAAGCAACCAAGAGAAATGCACTTTGCTAGCGGGTTTTGGGGTTTTATTTTGGGTTTGAGGGTTTTTTTTTTTTTTTCCCCTTTTTTGGTTTTCCAGTGGCACAACTTGACATTTTGGGAACCTGGTTCTTGTTATACACACAATCAAGTAGCTTCCTGTGGAGCTTTCATGTAAATGTACTTGCTCTAGTAATGATTATTTAGAATGTTATATTTATAGAAATGTGGATAATAATTACCAATAAACTACTTGAGGTATTAGTCAAACAGTGTTTGACTTTGAGTGTATATGTATTTCTACTTCTGCTTTGTGAAAACAACTTCGACAAGGTGGGCTAGTTTTATAATAGTGTTTATTTTCTCAGATGACAAGCATTAAAGGTTACTGCTTGCCTAAACTTTCTACTTGCTACATAAACCAGTTCTACGTTGACTATCTTGAAAATTTGTATTAACCCTTACTTTCTAGCCTAAGAAGTTGATCAGCAAACCCAAGGATTTTTAATATTCAGTGAAAAAAGAAAAAACTGGCATGATTATTATACAAGTTTTTATTTATGAAAGAAGTTTATAGAACTTATAGATTTTTCAGATTGGTGTCACATGTTCCTCCTAGGTGTTAATAATACCATAGATTAAGAAAGGGTCTCAGAGTGTGTCCTAAAAGAGTCGTTTAGGCAGTATTTTTATACTGTAGTTTGTTTTTTTAAAGGTCCAGCTTTCCTTAAGTCAGACTTTCTCCCCATGTGTGTTTGTCTTTCTCTGTACGCGTGTACATGTGCATGTGTCTCTGTTGAGTCTTGAATTTAGGACCACAGGTTCTTCAGCACCAAAAGTATATTTCTGAAATCTTACATTTGAAATTACTTAGGATTGGACAACTCTGCATTACTATCAAAGAACACAGATACTTAGAGATTTCAATGCCCAAGAGTTACTCTAAAATGGACTAATTTTAATGATTAATGGTGTACTTTAATTGCCATAGTTTCACTAATAAATCCTTATTGAAAATCAAATAGTGTCATGTAAATATATGAAAAAATTACTAGTCTGTAGAGAGTGTCTTATGATCAGAGAAAAAGGCATAGACTTAGCATGTTGTACAAGGTATTTGACAACGAAAAAGTGTCTCCCTTATTCATAATGACCTTGGATGAAATCTGTGGTAGTGTTTGAAGGTTCTATTTAGTAGTTCCATCATTAATACAAAATAAGTTCATCAGTGATAATAGAAGATGCAAAAAAGTTTATTCAAATTCAGATAGTATGAAACTATTATTTAACTAATACACCTAATACAGTATTTAACACATTGTAGAATCTTGGGTATGCTATCACCGGATGGACAGAAGGAAGGCCTCTGGAGGTTTGAATGTTACTTTTAAATTTAGAATATTCTAGAAATGGATAGTGTTGTGGAATAGTGGGGTGTTTATTTTTATTTTTTATTTTACTTAAGTGAGTTGTTTAAATGAAGACATTGTGTAAACCAATATAGGATGCCAAACTAAAAATTAGAACTTAATATTAAAATATTTGGAGGTCAAATATAAGTGTCAGCAAATGGTAGCAAGACTATGGATCTAGTTCTGTGTATGCAAGTTGAAAATCCTTAGCAGCCAGTAGAAGGCTGGCTCGTAGAATAGTAAGTGTACTGGCGAGCTGTAGCATGGCTTGGAGGCAGGGTAGTGCGCAGTCCTGGCTCGCTTGTGCACATGTGACTTTCTAGCAAGTTTCTTGAAACTTGTGAATGCTCTCCTGGTAGAATGAGAACTCACAATATGAGAGGATCAAATGACCTAATGTTTGTAAGCTAACATCACCAATTCAAAAAAACTCAGTAAGTGGTAACTGTTACTAATCAGTACAGATCACTATATTGAGAAGCCTGGGGGATCATCGATGATTACCGTAAGTTCCCAAGTCCAAAACTGACTCAATACTTAACTACTTTACTTGTATTAAGGGATTTAATATGCTATTACTGTAATTGCTTCCCTTATAAACTGAATTATACTTACTATTGGGGTTTAAAAGAATTAAAACTAACGAAATAACCTGAGACATAGTTTTGAGTGGATAGTCATTAATAGCTAGAATATTTTCTGACAAATGTATCTGAAGAAAATACTTCACGGAAGGGGGTTATGATAGAACAAGCTGTGTGTGTGTGTTTTTTTCGCCCCCGCCCCCGGAACTGGAGATTGAACTCAGACTCTTGTGCTTGCCAGGGAAGCGCTTATTCCATTGAGCCATCTCCCTGGCCCCATAACAAGCTCTTGATTCATTTTTCTGAGCACTTGTTTACCATAGCACAAAATACCAGCTTGGCAAACTTGAGAAAGTCTAGACATGTTGACTTCTCTTGAAACCTTGGTCATTTCCTTACCTTTCTAGAGGATCAATCCATTTTAGCACAATATATTCTTACCTTCCTTAACAATATTTAAAACATTGGAGGGAATATATATATATATATATATATATACACACACACATATTTGATTTGTACAATTAATAGTGTTTGCCATATATTAGAGTATCTTATTTTGCAGAATTAAAAACAAATGGAACTGTAAATTGTGTATCTTCAGAAGTGCCTCAAAATGGTCATCAGAAATTTGCCATTTAATGGTAAATAAGACTCTGTATGCTGACACTTGCGTGGAAACTGGCCAGTGTTTGGGGCACATCTGGGAGATGATGGTGCATATTTGTGTTTGTGGGCGGGTACGTGTGCTGTTATTTTCTAGCTACTTTCAGGCTTTGGTCTTGTTTTTATATCTTCTACTTATATTTCATGAGAGTTACCCATGCTGAGCAAGACTGAATGTAAGCACACCAAGTGGAAAATTCTTGGCTTTTGACAAAAATAAAGCCTCCCTTTTTTCTTGTAATCTCTCTACCCTGGTTCTATAATAAGAAATTAAAGCAGTGCTAAGACAGAAGCATTACCTCCTAGATAATCAGAAATGTACTGTACAACATGTTCTTGATGGAATTGGTGTGAGTTAACACAGTGGTTCTCAAAGTGTCTTTCCTGAACCAGAAACACCAGCTTTGCCTAAGAGCTTGCTAGAACTGCAAAATCTCAGGCTCTTCTCCAGTCCTAGAAATATGAAACTTTAAGAGTTGAGCCTAACAATCTGTGGTCTTACAAGACCTCCCAGCTGATTTTAATAGTTGTTAAAATCAATTCCAGATTAAAAATTCAGTCAACAACTAGAAAAAGAGATTGGAGGTTATAGCTCAGTGATAGAATATGTGTTGGATGCACTTGGTTGAACCTTCACATGTAGAAAGTACCTCAAAATTTAAAAAATAGAATAAACTTATAAATCCAATACTGCAAAAATTTGTATCCTTTAAAAATGCATTTACAGGAGCTTGTTTATAACACTTTGAGACTATTCTGGGCAGTAGAAGAATTTTATGAAAATGTGGGTTCTACTAGTTTATATAGAAGACATCTGATATAGTGTGTTTTTTTTCCTGTTATATTACTTTTCATGCAGAAACTTAACAGCGTGTGATTAGAAACTGTAGGCATCCACTGAGTTAAAGTATGGTTTAAGCATTAAACTAGTTCTCTTTCCTTTAGTCTACCATAAATCTGGAGATACACTGGAGTGAGTCAGTGAAAAAATGGTTATTTTTTGGAACATTTTTCAAGAGTGGTTGTATTTCAGAATGGTTTAAGGAGATTTTAAAAATCCCTTCAGACACTTCAGACATTTTGCATCAAAGCCAGGGGAGAAGGCCAGTAATTTATACTGTGACGCCTCCTAGGATTTTGAACATCTAGATCAGCCAGATTTAGAAACTTCTGCTTTGGAACTTAAACTTCTGGAGTTGAGGATGCCAGCTACATGAGTCTTTAACTGGCAAGAGTAATGGTATCATAAACTGCCCCACTGAAACTTTCCCTAGCTATCTT